CCGGGTTCCCCCCCCCCCCTGTCCCTTAGGGAGCAGCCAGTCCTTGCTGCTTGTGTCTGTAGCCAGGTTAAAATCTGAAAGAGGACACACACTTACCAGCTTGAAGCCCACGCTGGAATGCTTCTTTCCTGACCTGTTATTGTGGTCAGACATTCTCAAGAGTGAGAAGTTTTGGCTCAGCTTGAAGCTAGATCTGCTGAGATTTCCTATGCTTGACAAATCTTTCACATGGATGTTTTTCTCATTCATGTGGAATAAGCTGGCTGATGTGTTGATGCCATACAAAAAAGCAATAGATTCCTCTGCCATGTGATCCAGTTGAACCAAATGTTCACTAACCAGTTCAAATCTGCAAGGAACAGAAATATTAGCTATTTGGGAATATCCATGTTTGTATTAGAAAAAAAGGATTTTATTGTATGTACCCTCACAGTATCTATGGAAAGGCTACTCTCTGGGTCTCTGCAGACCTTGATGTCTGTGTGAGAAAAGCCAGCAATTATGGTGCCTATGCTTAGCATACCTAACTTCAATACATTAATTTATTAGGAGCTCCAGTAGCTGGATTTCCAGTTGCTGGATCCTCCACTGAAAACCTCAGAACTTGCAGCCATGCAACATCAGCTGCACAAACTGGCCTTCCTGTCAGACAATTAGATAGTTATTCTGAGGAAATGACATAATTCCTTTACTATGTAATTTGAAACTTCTCGATACCTTGCCACTACTGTATCAGCCTCGTTTGACAAGCAGGGCCATGCAGACTTCTGTACAAGTTATATTTTTCCTTAAGGCCATTCTGCGGTGAGAAAAACCAAGCAGAATCAGCTCTAGCATGCATCAGTCCAGAGATCAGTAGTTTAGTTACAAATGAATACACACACTACCCATGTTTTTCAGGGAAAGACTGTCTTTATCAGAGCACAAAATCAGTTAGCAGCTTGAATCAAGTCACAAGGTAGAGCTCCCTCTATCCTGACTCAGTGCATGAAATAAACTGCTACATGCTGTTGCACAATTCCAACAAGATCTTATCTTAAAACCCGTTTGGAAGTAACAATAGTCCCTTTCCACCCCTGTAAGGCAGAGAGACCTTCCTCTACCTTCAGCCTTCTCTGGGCTGCAGTCATAAGGTTGCTGACCCTTACTGAACCCTTGTGACTGTAAAGACACGACTACAGCCAAGGGGAAAGCACAGGTTACCTGTATGGGTCCAGATTGCAGATGGTAATTGCTGGAAACATCTTGGGCTCTGAATGCATTGACATGGTCAGGACAACAGGGTAGGCCCAGTACTGGCTGAACATAAGTGCAAATTGCCAGTACAACATGCCAAAGCTGGCAAGTAAAAGCAGACTCCAAAAAGCTGTTTTCATCCTATTGCTGTCTGAGCATACAAGGCGGATGGTGCCATGGATTGTTGTGTTCTTACAGAAGAACTCAAACATATCCCTGAAGGAATCATAAAACTCAATTAAGCCTTCTTTCTTCTCTTCTTCTCTTGCCACTTCCTGCTCCATCCTCTAAGTCTGTTTCTGTTCAATAAAAAAGAAAAAAAAAAAATCTTAGCTTGTTAGAAAGACCAACCTAGGGACTCTTTGGAAAAGGGCACCAATGAGTTTGTTATTAGCAAAAGCTGAAAACAACTGAGCTGAGACTCATCTGTCTTTCCAGAGTTTGGACACCAGGAAGTAGCAAAGAGGTCCAATGTTGTGCGTACTGCTGCCGACGTAACTTCAGGCATTCTACCACACTTACACTATGACTTCTCTGTTAGTATGGATATGCAACGTTAAAGTGACTAATACGCAAGCTGCTGAGAAGTCTGCAGCCAAAGGGGTGTGTAGTTTTCTTCTTTCTAAGAACACTAAGGGCCAACATTTAATTCTGAAACATTGTGTCACTGTGCATTAACACAGATCTGTAACTAATTCGTTATTATCAGTGTATTGCTAGTGGAACATGCTGGCCTATAGGCCTGAAACAAGACTATAATATAGTAGGTATTTCATAGTTCAGATGAGCAGAGTCAGGTACTTAGGAAAGGAAGTGGAGAAAAACACCACCTCGATTGAACCCAGAGAGGGGATTAAGCAAATTAGGATGTGGATAAAGCATTGCAGATACTACTTGAAATAAAATGTTCTTGCGTTGTTTCTGAAGGCCACAGAAATATTAATTACTGCTCTTGACAGAAACTTTGCCACCTATCTCTTAGATAAATAGTTTATTCCGGGAATCTAAAAATCTTCTCCTTCTCTCTATTTTACAGAAGTGAAAAGGAAGAACAGAAACTGAAAATCACCCAAGAAGAATGGATAACTGGAAAACAAAATCCATATCTCCTTTGTCACAGTGAGTAAAACATCTACTATGCTACTCTAGATAATTTCAGATTTTATGCTGATAAAAGTATGACCAATATTTATGCTCATGTGTTTTAGCCAGCACAAACGGAGGACATCTTCCTAGGTTTTAGTACCAGTTTGGGACATTGGACTAATGCTGACATAGTTCCACTTACTGAACGTGACATCAAGTCCTGTAACATGTGAGTTTCCAACATTACAGCACTCTGTGAATCAGCCTGCCTATTATGCTATTAAGAGAAGTTTACTGAGTACACCACTTTGGTCCAACCTTAACTCCAAATAAAAATCTTATAAAGACAATAACAGAGTTTGAAGATGGGACAAGGAGTACACAAATAACTAAAGAATTGTTGCAAGTGGGCTATGTGATAAGGAAATGAAAGCTCGGGCCCTTTACCGAGTTACGGGCCTTGAAGCGTTTGGCGGTGGCTCAGCCTGAGGTGCTGGTGGGGTTACCGCAGCTCAGCTGCTACGCGCTAGTGCCCTGGCCTGCAATGCCTTCATCCTCAACTAGACATCTCCATTTACAAACACGGCTTTATTTCAAAGGTCCTTGGAATAGGACACTTCATATGAAATGATACCTTAGACTTACAAGCTGCTAAGACAGTCCCCTCAGTGTACCTATTCATGTCAGAAAGATTAGGAATAATCCTGAAGCAGTGAAGAGCACGCTGGAAGCTGTGTACCAGATCAGCTTTAAAACAGCCCCCCAAAGTGTATTATCTGACAAGGAAACCCAGTTTATCACAAGTTATTTTCCTCAAAGACCATAACACATACCATGTTTGTGTTTTCTAAGATACTGTTTAACAATAATACAAAATTAACTCAAAGGCATATGCACCTCCTTTATACTTTTATAATTAAACATGACAAATTATTTTTCACATTTCTTAGATACACTTGCCATTGAACAAGTACAGGAAGCCCACGCAGAGTGAAATATTAAAAAAGGGCATGAACAATTAAAAGAAAACCTGTGCAATAAAGAATTGAAGTGGGAAAAGAGCAATTCCACTTTTGCTATGAGGAAACACCATTTTTCTGCAGTGCATACATAAACTGTTACTCCCACACAGACAACCCAGAGCCAGAGTGCTCTCAACCGCTGCTACAAATGTTATCAGCCAGCCTTACAGCTGAAGGCTTACAGCTGAATGCTTCTTCAGTCAGAAAGGACTATCTGTGGCAAACTCCAGAAACGAATCCATGGTATTCTTCCTACCCACTATTGTTACACATTTTTCAGATTAAGCTCTTATGTTAAATTGTATGTTCAACCTTTATCTTATTCAGTTCTTGTTCTCATTTTATTTAGATAAGAATAAATGAAAATAAGCCTGCAGGGTATGTTAAAGAAAAATATCGAACGAGTCCTTAAATATTGATGGTATTTTAAGATAGAAATGAAAATCGTGTGAGGCTGAAACAGGAAAATTTGATTTGTTACTGTTATATTAATTTCACTAGTCAGCCTTGCTCTAATGAGAAAAAGTAGAATAAAAGGCAATAGTTATCAAAAGTGAATGCTAAATGAAATCTATCAAACGTACTTTTTCTATGTATAATTTTGAATCTAAAAAGCCACCTGTAAAGATTCAGACCATAGCTTTCAGAGACAACCCACAGTTTTCAGCCGTTCTGACTGCGCTTTTAAGGCTATGGCTAGTTAGTTCACACCATTTGAATCTGCATTCTTGAAATAACTAGAATGAAAAAGCATATGATAATGCAAAAAACCCCAGAGGGAATATTTCAGAACATGTGTGTGTACAGGCAACAGAACATCCCCTCTCCTCCAGTTTCCCAGATCAGCCTACCACTAATTTATTTAACATAACAATTGCAGTCAGGGACTTAAGACATGTAACAGCAACAGTGACCAGTTGCCTGTCTTGTCTGCGGTAAGTGCCTGGAGAGAGGCTGCAGGTTATAAGAAAGTCAGTGGAAGTTACACAGCAGTGGCAAACAAGTATATGTTCGTGTATTATCACAGCAACTCAATGCTCAATACATACTGAACACTTACACATGAATGTCATGTAGTCAAATATTTAACCATGTGTATAGATATCTATATCTACATATCAATCATACATATACACAGAAATAATCAGTAAAACAACTAAGACCAAATTGCAAAACACCCCACTGTACCTTGGCAGAAAGTCTATCTTTGAGTGTTTAGAGTAGCCACTAAACTCGGCCTTCGGCTCTATCCTGAACAGAAGACAAGTCTTGGTCCAAAGCTTTCAGATTTCCTTTTCTAACTGAAGATACATTGTGAGCTGTCCAGCCTATATGGATCAAATTGATGACATCAAAAGGGGCAGGACTTAAGGAACAGATCATGGAAATTATTCAAAGCATGATCCAGGGAATAATAGGAAGTGAATGAACTGGATAAACAAGTTAACATTAAGGTTACGCTTGAGTTAAAGTTGGTTTGAGTGGTGATGGTGTGTTCATTGTTTTTTCAATGGCTAGAATATCTTTTTAGCCATAACTTCTACAAATAGCTAGGGAAGTAACCGTGGATCCTGTAAGGTTCTTTCCGCTCTGAACTTTCCCATCAAGGAACTAGCTTTCTGCCTTCTTTTCATGGTTTCCAGAGGTTTGCATGATCACTAGTAATTGCAGCCATTAAGGTTTCCACAGGTGTGCTTGAGGAATTACATACCTCAGTGTAATCTGAAATGATCAGCTACTCAGTCGAAGGCGCACGTGGCAGTGGATTTCTTCCTGCTTCTCCAAGAATATTGCTCATTCGTAGTGGGCTATCCCCTACCCATTAAGAATTCAACTCTTCAGATGCTGAGACTTGACTAGACTAAATCAACCATGACACTCAATTTAAATCAGAACACCCTGGTTTTGTAATACGGCTTAGTTAAGACTTGCAGAAGTCTGCATAAGTAATGCAGAAGTAGATTTGGAATTCTGGGACTGCTAAAAAACAAGCGCCTCAGATTGCTTGCATAAGTAGTACTGAAATCTGCCCAGTTCAAAACCAGCTCTGCAATGGTTTTGCACGAAGCTTGTTATATGAGAATATTTGATGCTCTGGATATGGCTAATGTTTAGAGCTCCAAATGAGACCAGCAGAGCTCCTGCCTGCCTTTTAAAATTGGCTGGAACCACATTTTCTATTACATTGGAAGTTGCAAAATACTGACATTTGCAAAGACGATTGAAATTTTTTGTGAAATTGAATTCAAAAAGAAGGGAGAAAGGACAAAGATCAGGGGAAACACACTCTTCTGATTTTGACTGATTTCAATCCTGTTTACATTTTTAACAATTGCTTTGTGCTGAATTTTGTTTTAGAAAAACAAAACGTAGAATGTTCATCTCAAATTTTAAAATGATTATTCTAAAAGATGTGAATCCTATTAAACAGCTGCTATGAATATATTTTACCCCTCTTTCTTTGGTATTAAAACAAAATGTCATTAAAAATATTTGGAGAATGTTTTAAATTTTAAAAGAAGACAGTATTTTGGGGTGTAAAAATTAAACTTACGATTAAAAAAAATATCCAATTGGCTCTTGAATGAACAGCTACAGCAGAGCCACTTGTCACTGATCAGTGAAGAGGTAAGTAGTTAAATTCTCATTAAAAAACTCAAACACTGAAAACCTAATTCTGTCACATCCATTTATTTGTCCCCCACCCTTCTCTCCATTTTATATTGTGCAATAGAAAATGGCAACAATATATCCTTGACAATGAAATTATTGCACAATGAACATACACAAGACAAAGTCTGTTGCTTCATTATGGCTGCAGGCCTCAGCGTAGAGATTCTCTGGTAACACATCAGAACAAGAGCTTCTGAGCCAGCCATGAATTTTTCCTGCAGGAAACGGAGAAGAACTGGACGTGCAGACAAGGCTGTCCCTCAAGCAAGATACCATTTCTGTTTGCACTTGCTCATTTGTCATCCTGTACCCTGAACTGGGAGGAGAGGGGAAGAGAACTCTTCCGCTGGTTAAAAAGTAAGTTGGTGTTTCTTTCAAAATACAGAAACAGATTATGGAGATAACATTCATGAGAAAGTCCTTTAGGGTTGCAAAAAGGCTATGCTATAATTATTTTCAGTGGGGCAGAAAATGTTTATTAGTGCTTGTAGTACTGCAATGGA